TACATTACGATTCATAACAGTAGCAACATTACAGTTATGAAGTAGCAACGAAAATAATTTTATGGTTGGGTCACAACATGAGGAACTGTATTTAAAGGGCCAGAAGGTTGAGAACCACTATTCTACAGAAAGCCACTGTTCACCTGACAGCAGCAGGCTTTATCCCACTCTGGGCCCTCGCAGCTGCCCTTGGGATTCATGCTGTCCTGTCTCCACCCACACCTTGATCAATCTTGCAGGCGATAACAGAAGTCGGTATTTTGTGGAAGAGCCACACTCAAGGGGCCAAAGAGCCGCATGTGGCTCACGAGCCGCAGTTTGCCGACCACTGCCCTAGGGAAATGAAAAAGACAGAAGGATTTTAAAATTTGAGAATGACATAAGATTTTCATTTTAAAAAATCTCTGAGCATAAATCCAAAATCAGGTGCTTGCATCACTTTATAATCCGTTAAAAATATAAAACATGCTCCTTCCCTACAGAATGTGTGGTGCTTTTGGGTTAAGGTATGTTTAAGTACCCTTACCAGGCAACAAAAGGTCACTACTTTGGTCTGACCAAACAAGGGCCACGCAGGGAGGGAACATCATGGTGGCTAAACTGAGACGACTTTTGTGGGTGGCACTCATGTTCCTCTCCTGCTGCATGTCAGGATATAAAGAGTTATCGAGGGAAGATGATAACTCTGACTCTCATACACCTCCTTTGGGTTTAGGAGAGGAGGAACATCTCCTAACCCAGCCGGAAACCTCCCTGTAATCCTGCCTTTGTTTCCAGAATGACCAGAGCTCTCATGGACTCACTTGGGCCGGAGTGGCGCCTGAAACTGCCCTCTATCCCCTTGGTGCCTGTTTCAGCTCAGAAGAGGTGGGATTCAGAATATCACAAAGAGACACCTAAAGGCAAATCCAAAGAAACCACAACTGCCAAGAGCAGAGGTAAGCTGTGACTTTCTGCTCAATTTTGCAATTTTCCTGTAGCCACTTTCTTTAGAGTAATCCTATAAAAATTGGCCTTGTTTAAGCTGAGTTATAAAAATAATATTAAAACAAAAAAGTATTAACCACTTAGAGGCTGTCTCAACTCTTCAAGGAGGGTTGTGAGAAAACCTCTCCCATTGCAGGGATTAGGTGATATAAGGCATGTTGAGCTCCTAGCCTGGCACATAGGTATACAGCGTTGGTTCCCTTCTCTCTTCTGGCAGCATTTGGGATGTATCATATTGGATGCTTTGGTTACAAGAACAGAAAACGTGCCATGGTAAAAATAACAGATTTTACTGGCTCATATAATTGAAAAATCCAGAGTTCAGGTTCAGGCAAGGTTCGCCCAGCAGCTCACTACATTATCGGGCTCTGATTCCATTTCTCTGTACTTCTCTCAACTTTCTTCTTTGGTGTAGTCAGGTTTGTCTTTGGATGGGCTTCCCTCTTCGCAATAAAATAGCTATGACAGTTCCTGGTCTCACATCCTTATACCACACCTCACCACCCAGAGGGAGAGAAAAACTTTTTTTCTGAGAGAGTTTCTTTCCCCCCAAATCTCTAACTCACATTTTCTCTGTTTATTCCAGCCTGTTTGGTACAGGCCATTCCCTGAACTAGTCACTGTGACTGAGGGCTGAGATTTTGTGGTGAGCTCAGCCCTAAGCCATCTGCCCCACCTCCACAGCTAGAGGGCTCTGCTTCCCCAGGAACATGAGCACTGTGTGAGTCTCTGGGGAGAAGAAATAAGAGGAGGGAGGTCAAAGGCAGGTAGCCCTGCACGGGAGAGTGTCCATCTCGACTGTAAATGAAGAGGCCTTTCTTTCTTCAGGCGGGGCTCACGGGCGCTCTGATAATGCTCCATGGGAATCATCCCAGCCCAGCAGCTGGGTGTTGAGGAGAAGCAGTGCAGAAGGGGTCAGGCTGGAGCCTTGCGTGGATGGTAGCAGTTGTCCCCTTCCAGGAGGAAACCTATGTGGCCATAGGCAGCATTTGGTCTGTTTTGTGGGAGCCTGTTAACTGTTCCCCACTCTTCCCTAGGATGAAAATGTGGGGTGCCAGTGAACTAGATGGCTTCAGTGCACCTACCATTTGTTTCATTCTTTCAGAGTCACTGAGCCATGTGTGTCCCAGGCCCTGTGCTAAGCAGCGTGACACAGGATGGGCAGCATTGGCCCTCAGAAGCTCTCAGTTTAATGAGACTGAGACAGCATTTTAAAATATAAGAGTAAGAACAAGTGCTTAAGAGTCTTTAGTATTCGGGGAGTTAAAAATCGGAATTGATGTGTGTTTGGAGGAGGGTCGGGAAAAGGCTCACAGAGGAGGTGGCAGTGGGAGGTGACAGGTTGAGCAAGGCCTTAAAGGGTGAGTTCTTCAGGTGGGAAAGGGAGAAGGGACAGGAATTCTTGGCAGAGACAGTGGAGAGTTAGAGAGGAATGCATGCGGTGGAACTGTGAACAGCGGGAGTAAGTAAGACTATAGCATGTAGTGTGTTGCAGAGCTGGGAGAAAGCTGAAGCTGTGTGTACATTGCAACCTACAGGCTCTACTTTTAGAGAAACTCAAGCACATATGCACAAGGAGACATGTTCAAGAATGTTCACAGCAGAATGTTTGTAATAGCGAAAAACAAAACTGGAAATAACACAGGTCTCCATAAATAGGAAAATGGAAAACCAATTGTATTGCAACAGTGAGAATGGGTAAACTACTATAGGTATATGCATCAGCACAGATCAATCTCAAGAATATAATTTTGGCCCTAACAGTTTGGCTCAGTGGATAGAGCGTCGGCCTGCGGACTGAAAGGTCCCAGGTTCGATTCCGGTCAAGGGCATATACCTTGGTTGCGGGCACATCCCCAGTAGGAGGTGTGTAGGAGGCAGCTGATCGATATTTCTCTCTCATCGATGTTTCTAACTCTCTATCCCTCTCCCTTCCTCTCTGTAAAAAAAAAATCAATGAAATATATTTTTTAAAAAAAGAATATAATTTTGAAAAGGGGAAAAAGAAAACAAGGTTATAGAAGAATACATACAATTATTTGTTCCTTTACAAAAATTCAAAAACAAACAACAAATAGTTTATAAATACTATTGTATATAGTAAACTACCAAAAACTAAAAAAGGGAAGGACGCACAGAAGTGGGGATAATGGTTTCCTCCAGGGGTGGATTGACTTGAGGAAGGGCCCATAGGGCTTCAAAGGTCCCCGTAAATGCTGTTTCTTAATTAAGGTGAGGGTATTGGTTTTACTCCCAAAACATTACCCTTTTCATATATATTATTTTATAAAGATAGTTTTTAAAAATTAAAAAAGCAGGTGATATAGTAGTTGGGGCTGGAACAATTAATTCAGGCCTGGAGGCCAGGCTGAGCAGCAGGGGTTTCACTTTCTCCTATTTCTCCTTGGAAGCTGGGGCAGATGTTAGGTGAGGCTCAGACCAAAACAATGAGGAATAGCACTCCTCTTCCTCTTTCTGAAAGCCTGGGAGCTACACCCTTTCTTTACCAGATGCTTGTCTAAATTTTTAATTATTATCCTGCTTTAAGTTCATAGGGGGTTCTGCACTTTCTCGTAGTCTCAGATTTCCTCCTGACAGTAGTCCTGTGTAGAGTAGGTGTTGCCCCCATTGTATTGCTGAGGAAATTTAGATCCGACAGAGATGGTAGGTCACACAAGATCTTCCAACTGCCAAGTGGCAGTGCCAAGGCTAAAACCCACAGTGCTTTTTATCATGTTATCAGGTGCATGTATAAGTATGTTTATATCAGGAGTCCTCAACCTTTTCTGAATGAAAACTGTTTAATTTCCCAGAAGCCATTGATGGGGGGAATCACTCTCAGGAAGGACGCTTTACAACAGCATAGGAAACCTCTGGGAGGGTTGTGGACGACTTAGAAGAGACGATGCCGAAGAGACCTCCCTGATCTCAGTCTGGCACCTGCTCCATGGTTTTTTCCTCTTCTGAATTTGTACCTAGTGCCTTCTGGGGATGTGGAGAGAGCCAGAGTTCTGAAGGAAGAAGGCAATGAGCTTGTAAAGAAGGGAAACCATAAGAAAGCTATTGAGAAGTACAGTGAAAGCCTCTCGTATAGTAACCTGGAGTCCACCACGTACAGCAACAGGTACCTTCCCCACAGCTGCTGGCCTGGGGGATTTCAGGACATTGGCTATTCCGTTCCATAATCTTCTCTTGGACTGTGGGGGGGCTCTTCTTCCCTAGCATTTAGTCAGTATGTCACAGCTCAGAAGATGCATTCACACTCACTCTCACCATGAGGCAGGCACTGTTAGTGGCATTCACTCTCTTGAAAGGATAGAAACTGAGCGATGCCAAAGGGGAACCTGGGCTTTGTTAACCTCCCTCCCCAGGATTTTCATTTACGATGTCTTGCTACACAGACACAACCTCAACGCTAGTCTTGTAGCCTTTCCACCTTCCCTGCTCCCACCCCATGGCTTCTCCAAAGCCCTCCTATTAGAAACTTTGGCCCTGAGAGCACAAGGCAGAACCCAGGATATGGAGTAATTATCTCCTGGCCTGGGAGTGAGAGACAGGTCCAGGCTAACCTGAGGGGTGAGACTCCCGGTGCTGAAGAAGACCCTGCAACTGTACCACATGTTACTCTTCAGTTCAAAGATCTTGGATCTACTATAGGCTCACCCTTCCTTATCCAAATCTGTGTTTCAGATTTAGTAAGGTAATGTGGTCCATATACTGAATCACGTACCATTTAGGGTCAGGGGCAGCTTGTGAAGTTAATTGTTAGCATTTCTGCAGTGAAACATAAGGAAATTCCACATTCACATGTGGTGGTATAAAGAAAGACTAGCCTTGCCCTAACTGGTTTGGCTCAGTGGATAGAGCATCGGCCTGAGGACCAAAGTGTCCCGGGTTCAATTCCAGTCAAGGGCATGTACCTTGGCTGCAGGCTCCTCCCCGGCCCAGGCCCTGGTCGGGGCTTGTGCAGGAATCAACTAATAGATGTGTTTCTCTGTCTTTCCCTCTTTCTTCCACTCTCTCTAAAAGATCAATGGAAAAAATATCCTCGGGTGAGGATTAACAAAGAAAGACTAGCCTCATGTAGGTTCAGGTCAGGATTTACTGCCTAATGAATTGAAAAGAGAACTTTCAAACTGAAAGCTTAAATTTTGGACCTGTGGTTTTTCTGGCTGATTGGAACAGGGGTGTCTCAGTCCACCAGGCTAACTTGAAAAAGAGGGCTGCAGCATCTCCTAGCTCCTCTTTCTCTGGCCTTGCTCACCTCATGTTGCTGGAGACCTCTAGCAACCCATTTTCATGCACATGTGTCTGTGTCACAGTTTTAATTACTGTTGCTTTGTAATATCTTGTAGGCTGGTCTTTTCCTCATCCTTCTCAATCCGAGCAGCCCTGGCTATTTTCCCAGATTTGTTCTTCTAGCTAAACCATAGGATCATTTTGACAAATTCCCAAGAGTATCTTGTGTTTTTGTTTGGGATTACATTTAATTTATCGACTTAACTTAGAGGACTGATAACTATACAAAATTGAATTTTCCATCCATTGTGACTGAAATTATACCACATCCTGGACATCATTTCAATGCCCCGCCTCATGCATATGCCCTGTGTGCATCACCTTGAGTTCTCTTTGGCTCACTTCAGTTCTCTTAGCACAGTTGATACCCAAGTGGATATCACCACTCAGGTACCTGGCCCCTACCGCTGGCCAACCCCTGCATGGACCTCCAGAGACTCATTTTCTCCTCACAACAATTCTTCAGCTTAGGTCGTGGTCCCATTTTATCTGAGAAAACAGGTTTGGAAAGATGAATTAACAAACACAAAGTTAAACAACTCATACGTGGTAGAGTTGTGACTGAAGCCAGGTCTTTGTAACTCCAAAGCTTGGGTTCCTTTTCACTCACTCATGTTATCTTCAAGACTGCTTTGTAATGGGAAAAAAAAAAATAGGTATACCCAACTAAGTGACTACTCTGTACCCATTCAAAACGATGAGGTGGAATGGATGGACTTCCATACTGAGCTCCAAGACATCCGTTTTCAGTGACTGTCTTTGGAGAAAAGGACTAGAATTGAGTGAGAAAGATAAACACACTTTCCCCCATAGGTGCAGAGTGGCTTGGATGGATGCACATGACTTTTCCCAACATTTTATTTTGAACATTTTCAAAATATCAGTTGAAAGATTTTTCATTGAACACCCATATTCCTGTCATCTAAATTAACATTTTGTTATATTTGCTTTATCACTATTTAGCCATCTACTGACCCATGTTATTTTTGATGCATTTCAAAGTTGCAGACACCTTTCTATCTCGCCCCTAACACATCAGCATACGTATCATTAATTAAAACCCAGTATTTTTGTTTTAAGGCAGGTAACTTTTTAGTCTGTCAGGGGGAAGGTTTCGGGAACCCTTTTCTTTGCTTAAAAGAGCACAGTATGGGAATGTGAGGTAGACAAAATGCTAGAGCTCAGTGAGGCCAGGGTCTGGAGGCCGGAGAACCCAGGCTGAGTCCCAGGTCTGCCCCTCAGTAGTGGTAGAACCTTGAGCAAGGCGCTTCACCGCTGAGCCAGCGTTTTCACCTGTGGAAAGGGGCTGGGTTGGTGTGAGGATTGAAGAACATGTAAAGCAAGCAGCACAGAGGAGGTGTTCAGTGAATCAAGGTCACTCCTCAAACTACCTCTGGTCTGGGTGGCCCCTAGAGGTGACTGACACCTTGAAACCGTCTTCCCTGTCAGAGCGCTCTGCTATTTGGCCCTGAAGCAGTACAAGGAAGCGGTGAAGGACTGCACAGAAGCCCTCAAGCTGGATGGGAAGAACGTGAAGGCATTTTACAGACGGGCTCAAGCCTATAAGGCACTCAAGGTAAGAAGTCCTCATCAGCTAAGCTACAGGCATCTGTGCCTGTGGTGGAACTTCCCGATTGTGGTCAAGGTGAGTTGGTATCTGCTACATCCCTTCTCATCCAGGGGTCCAGGCAGCTCCTGTCAGACCTGTGTGCTGGGGTTTGAAAAGCCTCTGTCTGAGCAGCTGTCTTACCCCCCCTCCCCCGCCCCGCTTGATCTCACCTCAGTCATGGCGCCATCCCCACACCCTTCCTTCTCTCTTTTATTAGGACTATAAATCCAGCTTTGCAGACATCAACAGTCTCCTGAAAATTGAGCCTAAGAATGTCCCTGCACAGAAGTTGCAGCAGGAAGTTAACCAGAAGTTAAACTAAAATCCCAAAAGGGCAGCAGGAAAACCTCCACTGGATGACTTCCTCTGTGTCTGCTTCTGGGACCCAGCATGCCCCCAAGTGAGCTCTGAAGCACCCTCCCTCTGCCCTACAAAGCAGTAGTAGCCTCCGACCCCTTAAGAGGCTTTGTTCAAATTAAGCTCAGTGTAGCAAAAACCAGACATTGTTTTGCTGGAAAGGTCCCCTGCTGTGCCGAAGCCCTGTTCTCCATCCCCCTGCCTGGACAGCTAGCGGACCACACAAACAGGTCCTCATCAGCAAACCACTGGGCCTGGCCCTGCCCCGAGCATGCTCCAGACTGAGGGCTGCCCTATGAGCGTCACCAGACCCACCTCACTGTGGCTCATGAGCAAACTCAGCTGGGGGTGTGGAAGGGGGGCCACAGGACTAGAAACACCTAAAGCAGCCTGTTGAGCTGGTTCTCCAGGGCTGCCAGCCTGCCCTGTCCTTGACATAGTCCTCTGTGTTCTGAGTTCCAGCCCTTTTTGGCCAGGCCCCACTTTGGTAGGGATGCAGAACCCTGACCCTTGGGTGGCTGTCTGGGGCTCTGTGCTTCTGCTTGCATGGAGGTGCCTAAGTTGTGTCAGGAGCCCAGAGGTGGCCACCCCTCCTAAATGTGGATGGGAAGAAAGGCCTCCTTGAAGTCAGTGTCCTTCTGTTCTAGGGACTTTTGACCCCAACAGTGGCCCTCCAGGCTTCTTATTTCTTTGTTATACGAAGTTAATTTGAACTGAACTGACTCGGTTTTGTTGAACTGTGTGTTTAAACGATTACATTAAACATTTTTCTTCTACAAAAATGTCTGTTGTACTTTCATTTATGCTTTTTCAGCTTTGTGCTGAAAATTTTGCAATAACAATAATAAAAGCTACCACTTTTCGATTAGCATTCAGCTAATCATTGAACAAATCATTCACTGAAATGTCTGCTTGGACCGGGCCCCATATTGCTTGGGAAACCATGAATGAGTAGGCACGGTCCCTGGTCTCAGAGGGCTGACAGTCTAGTGCAGCGGTTCTCAACCTGTGGTCACGACCCCTTTGGCGGTCGAACGACCCTTTCACAGGGGTCGCCCAAGACCATCCTGCATATCAGATATTTACATTACGATTCATAACAGTAGCAACATTACAGTTATGAAGTAGCAACGAAAATAATTTTATGGTTGGGTCACAACATGAGGAACTGTATTTAAAGGGCCAGAAGGTTGAGAACCACTGGTCTAGTGGGACAGTGAGAAATTAATCAGATGATCCCAGGAACAAGTGTAAAACTACGGCCAACTTACACATTTTAGAGAAGTCATTTCCCTGCCTGAAGGGAGATGGGACCTCAGGGAAAGGGATCCCTGGAGAAGTAAGTTTGAATTGAGATCTAAGGTGGGAGTTCAGCTGGTGAAGAGGGGAGGGTAAAGGTCCTCATTGGGAGCACAGAGACCAGACGGTGCCACTCCGGTTCACAAAGCACGGCCTGGATAGGAGGGTGGAGAGTGCTCCAGCAGCCAGCCAGAACTAGGCTGCCTCCCTTTCCTGGCCTGTGTCTTACTTAGTTCAATTGCCTTCCTCTTAATGGAGTAGCAGTTTGATGATTCCATAAAACAGAGCAGACAGAGGGTTTTCCTCATCCCTTCGCCTGTCACTCAGTGCTGAGCAGTGTTAGCACGCTGCTCCCAACCTCTGCGGGAGGCGTCTGCTGAGCAACCGGGCCTTCGAGCTGAAGCGGGTTTTAGAGTCCACCAACGCCATGGCCAGGGGACCATTTCAAAGTGGGGAGCTGTACCCTCTTACTGCCCCCTCTTAAGCAGGCATGCCTCTTACCTGATTTGAGGCAGGTTTAGTGGTGACATCCAGTCATGACTGACTGACTTTCTCTTCTTGAGGTCTAGAAGGCAAGTATCTGGATTTACTAATGAAAACATAGAAGCTGAGACCATTACAACCTCAAGAAGCTTTTCCCTCCCTACAGGGGAGGAAAATCGTGACCAGAGGAGGAAAATGGTGACCAGAAGGTAGCCTAAGGCATTTCCACAAGGGTTCTCTATGTTACACAATCCCTTGGTCCAGAGCCTAGAAGCAGTTGCTGCTTTCAGGGTGTTTCCCTGCACTGCAGGTATTCAAGCCAGGCATCCAGGTGTGGGCACCTGTAGCTTTAACTTCTCAGTGCTGCGTGATGACAACCAATTATCCATCCACTGCACATTGGTGGGTGGTAGCTGCTGCCCCATGCCCAGCAGTTCCGTGCTGCTGTCCACACCCTCTGTGTACTTCCGCACTCGTCCCGGTTTCTGTTCCTTGCAACCAAAGCCCCAGCCCAATCAAGCCTCCCCTTTGCTCTGCCCCACCTCCCTCACCCAAGAAGGCCTCCTGGGAGACAAACCAGTTTGCAGCACTTTTAATGCACAAAGCAATGGCAATGGGGCGGGGAGGGGGAGTAGTGGATTGGGGAAGGTGTAGCAGGGTATTTTGGGGATAAATGGTGATGGACAGAGACTTGGGGTGGTGAACAGATGATGTGCTGTAGAATTGTGCCCCTGAAACCTCTATAACTTTGTTAACCAGTGTCACCCCAATAAATTAAAAAAAAAAAAAGGTAATGGGCTGGCGGGGTGACCAGCCTTCGTTCCACATACAGAGCTCAGGTACAGATACAGCCCAACTAGGAAATAAGTTATGGTTCACAGGGCCTTAGAGCCAAGAGCAGGAACGCTGTTCTCTTGTCAGCCAAGGGAGTGAGGATTCCATTTTTCTGAGGACAAAAAGGTAAAATTAAATGTTTCTCAAGTATGGCAGACACCTGGACTTCGACTAAGAACGGGGGCTATACCAAGCCAGGCCTTCAGGCAGGCAGAATGGACCCAGGCAGTGCCAGGGGAAGCCAGGCCTATTATGAGTAAGGCGAGGCGGGGCAGCTAGCGCGAGAACACCTCCCCTTTGATAGTCCACACCCATTCCAGTCACACGGCTTGTCCTCTCCTTTGATCACAGCTTCCCCCTGAGACAGCAGTGTCACAATGTGGTTCTCAGGTCCCTGCCCAGTTCCTTAGTGCTTCTGGGCTCAGCTACGTCTGTCACCATTCCTCTCAACCCCACCCACCCACCTGGTTTCAGTTACATTCACTTTCATCTGCTCTTCCTCCATGGTCTGGTGAGCCTGTATGAAGCACTGCCAAAGCCTCTTCCACCTGTGGACAGTGGGAGGGACTTAGTGCAGCTGCCCTAGCAGGGTCCCAGGAGAGCCCTGACCTCCCCAGGTCCCTCCCTCCCCGGCATTTCTGCAGAGCCCTCATCTGACTACTGCTTGCCATCTCCCAGGACAGAAACCCACAGTCACCTTCTCAAGACAGATGTACACTGCTGGACAGCTGGGGAAATCGTGACCCAAAACACAGCTTCTTGTGCCAAAACCTTGCCTATGGAGCTGCAGAGAATCATCTATGATTCTAACCCACTCAGATTCCGCAGGTGTTAGCAAGAGGATAAACCTCATCTGTCCAAGCAGCAGCCTGCTGGCTCATCTAGCAGACACCTTAGCTCTCCTCCTGCCCTCAGGGCTCTCTGCCACCCAGGCCCCAGCCCACCTTGGCATTGAGGGACTCTGGAGACTCCAGCATGAACAGCAGTTCTGAGTTGTCGATCTCCAGCAGCATGCCTGTGATCTTGCCCGCCAGCTGGGTGTGGACATTGTAGATAAGGGGGTAGAGACGCTCACCTGAATGGAACAGCCTCTGATGGCTTATGAACACACACCTGGCTGATATCCCAGCATCCCAGGGGCGGTATTGTGGAATGGAGCAGTGAGGCATCTGGGTGGCTGTCCCCGAACTGCTCCTTCCAGACAGTCCTCTTACTTAACCTGGTGAGCAGCAGCCTCTTTCCCAAATGAAGTGGGCATAGCAAACCCACTTTGGAGGTCAGTCTGCAGCATCATATTCGATGCTAGATATAAAGTAGTTGCATGGGGTCTGATACAAAGGTGGTTGCACTTTAAAGACTACTCTTGTTCATTTTGCAGGAAATAGTTCCAAGTATACACACTAAGATTCTAGACAGGATATGATAATGTTGAACCTGACTTTTTTTTTGGGGGGGGGGGGCAAATACACCAGATAAATTCACCTTCCACCATCAGGTACTTCTAGTGACAGGGCCTAGTGGTGGTGGTCAGCCCATTTTGGCAATATGTGGAGGGTCTAGCCAGGCTGGGGTGCTGGGGTGCCTTGAGTGCAAATGGGAGAGATCTTCCCATGATGAAAGCGAAGATGTCTACAAGGAACTGCTAACAGAGCCTTCTGCCTCCATTAAACCCACTGAGACTTTTTCTTGGAGGTATAGGTAATAAAGTGGCAAAATGCCAAGTGAGCTGAGGAAACAATGGGGTGGTGGCAGTGGGGGCCTACAGAGAAGGGTTAGGAGATCTTGGTGGACTTGAAGAAAAGATCCTGCCAACCACTAGCAAGCTTGTTCATTCATTCAGCAGTTAGTGGCACCCTTGAGGAGGGCCTGTCACAGACACGGGATGAATTGCACAGGAAGTCAGGACCCAGTGGGGAAGACAGGGTCCAGTGGTCCATTTTCCCAATGCACATTTATTTACCACCTCCTGTAATGGGCGCCGCTGGGGAAGCTGATGAAATCTGGCGACAACTTCTTCCCAGTCAGGGGAGGCGTGAGGAACTGCAACACCCACCTTAGGGGCCATGTCCTAGCAGAAACCCAAAACCTGACCCCTGATCTCCCCACATCTGGGGTCTCTCCTAGCCTAAGTCAAAATCAAGTACAGCAAAGCTGAAGAAACCCCAGGAACATCTCACTTGACCAGTATTTTAAGATGAGAGAACGGGGCCTGGATTACAGACCCAACTCGGGCAAGGTCACCCAGCAGGTTGGTCAGCGACAAAGCTAGATGCTGTCCTCATGTCTGACCTCCACTCGGTGTTCCCCACCAGGCTAGCCAGACCCCAGCCCCCCTCCTCTGCTCCAGAGCAGGGGAACCAGCCACTCACCTATCATCTGCTTTTGCTTGTGCAGTGGTGCTGCGGCCAGCATGGACACGGTCAGGGGTTCCTGTCCGGGGATGCACACAGCAGGCTCCTGGACCTGCACATGGTGCCGGGGACACATCCCTTAACCACCACGGACGGGCAAGGCCTCAAAATATTTAACCCTGTCAGGTGAGCACAGGCCTCCAGGAAGGCTCTGGAAGAGGGGAGCAGGGGCAAGGCATGGACAATTGGGTGGGACAGAGTCCCCAACAAGGGCATGGTGGACTGGACGACAACGTTACACTCTGACGCAGATGTTTTCCACTGTGCTAGGAACCTCTAAAGGCCCCTAGTCCATGTTGCCAAACGAAGCCACACCTTACTAATCACTTTGTGCCAAACAAAAGAACTTTGGATCCAGTAGCTTTTATGGCCGTATTTCTACCATACTTCTGACCTTTCACATCTTGACCACATTAAAAGCATTTGCTCTTTAAAGACTACTCTTGTTCACTTTGCAAGAAACAGTTCAAAGCATACACAGTGAAATTCTAGATAGGAGAAGAAAATGCTGAGTTTGAGACTTTTTTGGGGGGTACAGGGAGATAAATATACAGCCTTTAAACTTATAATGACAGGAGATATTTTCAGTTCTGTTTTGATTAATCACATCCTTGCTGCTCAACACGTAAGTACTAGGGAAATCCAAATTAATTTTGGTAATAACCCAGGCAAAGCAAATCATAACTAATAAAACACGGTCCTGGCCCTTTCCCTCCTGTTAGTAAGGGTAATCACTATTTGATTGTACATTGTTAATAACGAAACTTTATAAGTCAAGAAAAGGTCCAGAGAGTGTCAATGTCTTAGCCAAGGTTCTAGC